ATAGATAGATAGATAGATAGATAGATAGATAGATAGATAGATAGATAGATATATGAATGAAGCAATTGAAAGGCTGCATAAAGAATTGAAAAAAATAAATTTTCTTTAAAACAGATCATCTGGATGAATTTTTCCAAGCTTTTCTTCTTTTTGTACTAATATGTCTAACCAATACTCTTTAGGAATATAAGACCCACTTTCTATAAACTGGTTCTTGTGGCAATACTGTATTTGAAAGTCAAAATACTCAACACACACACACAAAAAAAAGAACAGTTATAAATTAGATTTTTGGAGACTTTAAGCTTCAGTCTAGGTCTAGAAACATGTTCCAATAAAAATTTTAGCTCATCTTAATCCAAATGTTTTTGATGCATTTGTCAATATGTTTAATTTAAACTTCCTTAATTGATAAAATGCTGGTTCTCATCAACTTTTTTTGTAATTTGTTTTATTTTCTAATATTAAGAATATGCAGGACCAGATGAAAATTGTCCAATCAGGGAAACATTTGGCCCTTGGGCCAAACAGTGCTCATATGTGTATTAGATTAACCTCTAATAATTCCACTGCTCAGACCGGGGATGCCCTGTATCTCTGTGACGTTGTTCTGGATGAAGTAGTCGTCGCACTGAGCACTGCTCATGTTCCCTGGTAGGCAGAACCTGTCCCACAGCTGGCTGGGTACTGTCATGTTTCCGTTTACCACGGGTTTGGCACACACATCAAATCGATCTCTCACCAAAGTCCTGTTACCCAGCATGCAGATCCTGCAGCAGTAAGACAGAAAGTTAAAATACTACGAACTTTAATAATCAGTCAGATGTAAACCTACATGGGAAAAAAAAAACCAGTAACAGTAAACAAAATAATGAGCATATGAGCATATGCTATACAACAGTGTAAAAATGTCCTCTCTTGTCCTAATGAAAGCAAGTTTCACATTAAGTTTCCTAATAGTTCACAGCACATCCTGTGCAGATAGCTTGTTTATTTTTACAGCACTTACGGGAATTCCGGTGGATGGGTCATGGATTTGATTGCCCCAGCGTAAATGGAAACAATCGAAATAATGACACAGGCCAGGAAAAGGGAAGCCAACTTGTTCACATATTTGACTCCAACAAAAACAACCACAGCCATCAGGCTGAGGCACAGCGAGCCATACACCCGCATGTTGTTAAGCATGGCACCGTCATTTCCAAGGGGCTCCGTGGAATGGAAAATGGCTGCTTGAGGGACCAGATATTTCTAAAAATAAGGAAACACAACAATCATTTTATTGCATTTACACACAACACAGATTTAATAAATTAAATCAGAGCTCAATGCTTTGTAAGATGATCCTTATCATTTTGCCACTCATTATTGCAGAACTTCCAGTAACAGATATTTTTAGTGGTTTCAATGTAATGTATTAGAAATACTAGCTCTACAGCAGAAACTCAGTGTCAGTCAGTGCATTTAAAAATTACTGAGCTGCATGGACATTCATTCATCCATTCAACCTTTATTTAAACAGGTTAGTCTCACTGAGTCACGAGGACTCGTTTACAAGAGAGACCTGCTTTAAACAAAAATCATAAATGAGGTACAAACAGCAATAAACATTCATAAGAAAGCATATAAAATGAAAAGTATAATAAGTGAGATAAAACAACATAAAAACAAACCGCTACATTATAAAATGGTGTAAAATACTAAAAACAGGAACATGTCTGCATTGATTTTTCGCCATGAACTTAGAAGTTGTTTTGAATCCCTTAGGGAGGTCAAGGTCAAGAACTTGAGATCTTTTTGCAAAGTGTTCCAGGGAACAGGAACTGAGTAAGAAAATGCCTTTTGCCAAATTTGGACTGCACCGAGGGAGCACTGCAGGCAATGACGTCTTGGGAGCGCACGCTGTAGCTGCACTGACAACGTGACATGTAGGAGTTCTCCTACATGTCACGTTGTCCAGCCATCATTCATTAGTAACTTAGACAGTGTAAGACCATTTTCCTTAATTTAGGCAATTATACAAACATGTATTGCAAAAAAACAAACAAACAAAAAAAACCAGTTGGTTTGTTACATCAAGGCTGAACTCTTGGTATTCCTGATTATTTGTTGGACAAGCTGGCTTCCTCAGCAACCTCGAGTCAATCTTGAAATGCACAGAAAAAATTGTGACAGGAAATATGAGAGGATTGTGCTTCTCCAAATTTAGCTTTTCATAAAGAATAAAATAAAAATGTTTTTGCCCTAATTATTAGACTCCTATACCAAACTCCATCATAACTTAAAGACATCATAGAAAACGCCCATACTGCAGGTTTTCTTGCATCTCCTAAAGTTTTCTAAAGTTGAATGGAAAACAATAGGTGGAGCCTTCAGCTGTTAAGTTGTTTCAGCTGTTAAGTTGTTTCAGCTGTTAGGTAGTTTCAGCTGTTCAGCTGTTAGGTAGTTTCAGCTGTTAGGTAGTTTTTTTGTGCAGCCAGCTACCTCTTTTGATCAAAAATCTTAGAGACCTCTCCATCTTAGAAGTTAACGTAATTATAAGACTGTTTAATTGTTATTATGTCTTTGGTTTTGAGTGTACTAACATGAAATTTTGGAATGGAATGGAAAGGCAAAAACAATAGATTTGTAAACTTACCAAGAATATTTCAATTGCCCCTAAAATGTACATGGCAGAGGCAAAGGTGGTGCCCAAGTAGAAGCACAGCCCCACAGCACCTCCAAACTCTGGACCGAGCGAGCGTGAGATCATGAAATACGCTCCTCCAGCTGTGAAAAACAAGGACAGCTGTCAGCAACATAAGAAGCATCTGGCAATCCCACAGCAATGCAACCCATTTAAAAAGTACTACATATATATATAAATATAAAACACTTTTACATATAAAATAAAATATCTGTAATAAACTGCGGACATACATTGGTAGATTTGCCTTTTAAAATTATA